TGTTTTTTTTTTCTTTTAAATAGAAATAAACGGTGTTGCGCCTGAAACAAAGAAAATGTTTCTATAAAAAGTACCCAGTAGGCGGGAAAATGTCGGTTTTTTCGATTGCATTATTTTGACGAGCACCTGATTTCACCACGATGCCTTGCATCTTTCTTTCTCGATGAACACCAACATCCCACCACGGCGAACCTGTCTGATACCTTGTCGCTCTATCAAAGTTCTGGAGAAGCCTGGGACTTAATTTGTTGGGTCTGAAGTGAAACACAATTAGGGTTGTGTCAGCACTCGAATCCAGTCTAGTATCCTATTCGAATATTATTTAGTCCCGCTTGTACTTTTAGAGTAGCTTTTAGATAAATGAGTACTCGCTCAAGTAAATGACCTCCGAGCACTCAGATAATGACTCGAGAACGTACTTTTAGTTGAAATAAAAAGTCGCAATTTTCATCGTTTTTATTCATTGCTGTGTTGTACTTTATTCCTTTCTTTTTCTTCTCTTTCATTGTGCACTGTTTAAATCATCTCAGTACAATAACTACTCATATAGTTTTCCTTGCTGTTTTCACCATTTTTACTATTCATTTTACCGGGGGGGGGGGGCTGTATTATTGTTATTATTTATTATATTATGAGCAGTACAATTAGCAGTTCAGATACAAATGAGTAAACAAAATTTTAGCGAAGCCTAGCATTCAAATATTAACACAACAATAAAGATAAGATCTGATAAAAGTACACATGTTGATATATTTACTGAATTTGATCTAGGTAAGCTGTTAGGCTACCGGATTGTAATCGTGAGGTTGCGGTTCGGGGGTTCGAACCGCGGGCCCGACTTTGTGTTCTTGGGAAAGGCACTTTACGCGAATTTTCGTCAGTTCACATAGGTTTCTATGGGCACCCTGATATAAACAGCGAAAGATCTTGTTAGTATGTTAGTGTTTTAGTGCCTATAAATGGCCTCTTGCACTGCATGTTTCCCGGGAAGCTGATTCTGTTTCTGAATACTCTCAGGTCTGCTGGGGTAATAGTATAGATTGTGAAGCGCATAGAGCTTGTTGTTGAGCGGGGGTTTGCGCTATTCTAGGTAAGTACTCCTTTTAATACTTCCTCGTTGGTGACCCTGTCTGTCCAAGTATTAAGAAGAACGAGTCAGAGCCCAGTCAGAGATGAGGTTGGAAGAAGGCGTTGACTATGGATTGGACACACTTTCAGGAAGTCAAGCAGCAGCATAAAAAGGAACGTGTTAGATTGGAACCCACAGGGTAAAAGATCAAGGGGAAGACCGCGGGGAACCAGTAGAAGAGTCAGGGAAACGTACAGAAAAGTGGGAAGACATGGAGTGACATCAAGCGACTAGCCCAGGACAGGGAAAAGTGGAAAGTGTTTGTTCGAGGCCTATATCCTGACCCAGAGCGAGAAAGGCAATGATGATGAACTACTCCTCTACACATTCCTATAAAAAAAATCACACACACACACACACACACACACACACACACACACACATACACACACACACACACACATACATACACATACACACACACACACACACACACACACACAGAATCGTGATGTAAGTATAACCTGTCTAAGATTTTTCTCTCATTTTCGCTTTCTTTTCTCTCTCTCTCTCTCTCTCTCCCTCTCTCTCTCTCTCTCTCTCTCTCTCTCTCTCTCTCTCTCTCTCTCTCTCGGTATCTTTGTGAAACTATAAACTATAAACTCTTGCCACATATGCGTGTACATAATTTTGCAAATAGTGCGGAGGGAAAGAAATGAGGTATGGGGTGGTATGATTTAATGCATCAACAAATACAACATCCATTTTAGGCATCAAAAAATTACACATTGAACCTGTTTTCATGAGTCGAGTGCTCTAGTATTTCATAATTGTGCAGACTCTGACTCAAGTCCAAAACAATGGACACTAGACTTGCACACCTCTCAAAAGAACTGGCACTTTGACCAAGATATGGCCGCACCTCGTGTCTCCAAAGCTGACCTGGCTGAATCAGCAACCAGTTTAGAGACAGGACAGTCATTTATGGGACGGAGCACAACCAAACCCCATGCTGTCCTGATCTGAGCCCACTGGGTTTTCACCTTTGGGAATACTTGAAGGACAAAAGATGTGCGGAAAACGTTCGAAAGTATCCAAGACCTGAGGGAAGCCATCTTGGAAGGTACAAGAGCGATTTCCCGAGCAGTTTTAACGCGTGTTCATTAATTCACACAACAAGCAAATCGTGTCTCACTCAAAATGGGAGGGATCTGGAAGATATCTTGTATCTTTGTTTGTGGCTGTCGGGACTGCTATATTTTATTGTAATTATAACTTGAAAAATGTGGATTAATGATCCATGTTTTTCAGAGCTTTCATATTCCTACTTTTATTCATAATGGTTTCATCAGTTGTCTTTTGGAAGGGCTTACTGCTGATCGCATTGTATAGACCAGCTGGACACTTGTTGCATGAGGCACGATATGAATGTTAGCGTCTATAAGACTTACGCCTTGGGAATCAGCAGGAAATCGGATGCGCTGGAGATCAGCATCAACTGAAGCAGGCCAGTGAATTCAAATACCTAAGCAACGTTTTCAATAGAAGTCGGCAAACTGGACTGAGATATTACCGAAACTTGATGCCAGAAACCAAACGCCGTCAGTTATCAGTTGACATCTCTCTTGAGACATCCCAGATTTCCAATGGACATTGAGATAAAAACCAACCAATGCCATAATTATAACAACTTTAACTTACCAGAACCAAATGTGATCCTCTAAGAACAAAAATAAACAGGAAAAGAAAAGTGACCACATGCTAACTGAAATGCCGGGGGAGGGGATGAACGAGACCATGAGGGACCAGATAGGGAAAGAGGTGATTAGATACACGGTGGGAACAGCACCAATCCTCCGCCATATCGAACCACGAGGAATAAAACGTTTCGGCCACCTCTCAAGAATACTTCTGGACCAAACAACACCGTGAGCCTACAACACAAAACACTCTGGCTGTAGAACTAGAGGGAGACCAATACGTCGCTGGATCGACTCGATAAAGTACACCCTCAGAGCCCTCCACCGGACCCTCCTCCAAGCTACTCGACTCGCCGCCTGACACACGATTATTTCTCGCCGCGACCCCCGTTTGTAACCAGATAAAAGAAAAGGCACAAGAAAAAGTTAAGTCTGCGGGAAAATAGACAGTGTTTCTTTTCAGCACTGTTAAGGGTGTTACAGAGGCAACCACAATGGACAACTTTAAGTCAGACAGAAGGAAAGATACGTTTATTAAGTGTATAGGATTTAACTTTATTTTCCAGTATTATTTTTTTTTTAAAGTGGTAACATAATTTCTTAAGGGATAGCTTGATGACTGCTGTCTGATAAGGAGTATAACTGGACGAACTATGCACTCTCAAATCAGAAAGCAAAAGTTATTGTATTGCACAAATACAATCAATACTCAATACAAAGTATGAACAGAAAGTGTTAGTCACTTCAAGTGTAATGTAATACGAAGCAACAAGCAAACAAACAAAAATCCGAAGTATAAAGATAACTTAATGGGCCTGCGAAAATTAAATTCTTGTCAGGAATGATAATTGATAGAGAGAAATGATTCAACAGCTTTATGATTTTCAATTTTCTCGAGGGAGATTTTTGCTCTTATGTTTTTAAATCCTCGTATATTATTATTGGATTTGACTATAATCAGTTGTTGATTTACACTATACCGGGTTTTTTTTTTTACTACTTGCAAGCTACATGAATTCGCGATTCTGGCGATATATGTAAGTCGTTTGCGACTGTTCGAGTACTTATTGAGTGATGCTACCACTATGTTTTATCTTTCTCTGCTCGTCTACAATTTGCTTTCTATTCATTTTTTTTATCTGCGCTGGTAAAACGGGGGGGGGGGTGATGTTAAATTGTGTATCCGCTATGACGCTGTAACCCCCACCCCCGCCCACCCCACCTGCCCTCACCCCTTTCCTCCTCCCTCTGCCTATGTATGTGGCCCAGACTAGCAGAGTAAAAGCCTACCTCCCACTTGATCGACATATTTATGTCAGTGGGAGCATGACGTAGGTCTTCAGAGTGCGGTGGCGAAGCGCCTAAGGCAACATCACAGAGGCTGGCGCAATAACATCAGCATTGACAACATCTGCAACAACAACGACAACTACAACAACAGCTATTACAGCAATATCAACGATAACAACAACCACAACACTACAACAAATAAATAATAGTTGTTTTAGTAAGGTTTTACGGCGCTCGCAACTGCATAATATGGTCATATGAGCGCCAAAGGGTGGATATCAACAGAGAAATCCAAATGGGGAATCAGGCTTACTCTGCTCACCTCTCTAGCCTCAATAGCATAATAAAGGCTGCTTCGACTATCAAGGCACCCCGGAAATAGCAGTTCACAAAAGTGACAATCATATAAAGGAAGTAGAGGGGACATGACGATAGTAAGGATGAGGGAAAAAAGCAGCTGTTCCCCCTATGTTGTTCCGGCACTGTTTCAGCATGACATTGATAATTTAAATCAGCCGATTTGCAATTCTACGGTGCATAAGAACTTGTTAATATCCCCCCTTGGGGAATGGCCTCAAGACAGCTTCAGTCAGTAGCGCTGCCCTGGTGGGGGATCAATAAATAACAAGTAAAAAAAAGTAATAATGGCGATAACAACAATCAAAACAAAAACAACAACAGTAACATCAGCAACATCATCATCAACAACAACAACAACAACAACAACAACAACAACAACAACAATAACAGCAGCAGCAAAAGAAACAGCAAAACAGAATAGCAAAAATGTTAATTCCCAGTTCAACCCCCTCCTCCCCCCCCCTACCCAATTTAAGACCTTTCACATCTACTCCACCCCACTACCATCCCCACACGCAACCCTCCCATTCCCACATCCCTTCACCCCCCCCCTACCCCCACCCCAACATTCCCCCAACCAGACATTTCGTCGTGGAGATAGCTACTACTGTGGGCAATGCTTTCCTCGTGGCTGGAGTCTCGGCCAATCTCGTCGCCATCGGGATCTGCAACGCTAAGGCATTTCGGTCAGGAAATAATAAACATGTCTCAAGATGCGATGCAATCAGGCGCTCGTCAGTTTTGGGGGCATATATTGAGTTGATGGTATCATCTAACAGCTTTTTCATTTGTCAATTTTGTTTGGTGGAAAATGGCCTTCAAATTCTAATGACTTTCAAAGTTTGTGGGTCCTTAGAAACTGAAAATTTACAAGTTTTGCGCTTTTCATCAAAGTTTTTCATTAAAATCCACTCAGAAATTTGTTTTAAATGAACATGAAAGGCGTTGAGTAAAAAAAAAAGCCCAAAAGTTAAAAGAATATATTGTATTTCTTGGATTTCAATACCTTGACGAGCGCCTGATTTCTCCACGCTGCCTAACACATTGTTATAACCTGTGCTTGCCAACCTGGGCGATATCACCCTCTTGTGAGCGAAAATTTGGTAATTGTACAAGGCGGTGGGAATCACCCAGGTAGGGGGGACAACTGTTGTTTAACGCCATGCTTGAAAATGCGTACAAGTGTAACCTCTAAAGGTGACAAAAGTGGGTGCTGGCTGTAGAAAGGTTGACAAGCATTGGCATAATGTATAGCGTAGGTTGTTTTTATATTGTTTGTTTGTTGTCTTGTGCATGTGTGTGTGTGTTTGGGTGTGTATGTGTGTGTATGTTTGTGTCTGGCTGTGTGTGTCTGTGAGAGAAAGAAAGAAAGAAAGAGAGAGAGAGAGAGAGAGAGAGAGAGAGAGAGAGAGAGAGAGAGAGGGGGGGGGAGACAGCTTGCTGTTGAGCGGGATTGTGCGCCCTACAGTTATTGTTATAATCCAGCTATTAAAACCATGTATGATTATCCTATTTTATAGATGCTTCTCTTTACTGAGACAAAACAAACTAGACAAATCATTGTGGAATGAAAACTCTTGTCTTTGTCTTCCTCTAGACTAATGACCATAATTCTGGAATCCTTGTGAAACAGCAAGTCATAGTGTCATGCCTCTGCAATTATGCCAAAGCAAAGAGGGTGGTTAGCGGGTGCTTCCAATCAAACATCTATTTTATTGTCCATACCTCTTCTGCTTCTTTTTTTTCCTTCTTTGTGTTGTTTTTTGTTATTGTTTTTGTGTTTTTTGTTGTTGTTGTTACTGTCTTGCAACAGCTCTAATCTTCGGAACTTACAAAATTATAATCATATTGTTTTCGCAATTGCTGTAAAACGTTTACATTTTTTTTTATTTCCTCTGGAAAAAAATTTACAAGAAGGGGTCAAGTGAAAACAGGCTACGTCACATTAACCCTGGGAACCACAATGTATCATAACATTTCAATTGTGTATGATGGAGCTGGCTTGTTTTGAACTTGATTTGCTTCTTATTGAGAAATATAGTTTGTGAATGACTGAGTTGGTTTTTCACTTGATTGATTTCATTGGGATATTTTACATGCACCGTTATAAGCTAGGGTTTAAAAGGTTACCCTGGTTCATCATCATCTTGTCCATCACCATCAGCAGCAGCAGCATCATCATCATCATCACAATCACCATCACCATCATCATCATCATCATCATCATCATCATCATCATCATCATCATCATCATCATCATCAT